ACAGGAGCCTGTGGTGCCAAGCAGCCATCAACGCCTGCCTGTTGAGCCTGGCCAGCACAGCTGGACCACGTAGGACAGCGGCTCCAGGATCATGCTCTCCTGCAACTGAAGCATAGAGAAGAACTCCAGAAAAAGGGATGACAAACCATAAGGAGGCCAGACTGGAATAAAATAAGACATCTGCTTAAAAATTCAGGGCCTGTCTTCGCTCCTGCTAAAGGTGCTGGGACTTCTGAGAGGCCCAGCAAGACCAAGGTGAGCTCCCTCTGCCTCTCCTGTGTCTCAGCACAAACCCCCTCCAGGATGAGAGTCACTCCAGCACGTCGCAAGCACAGACCGTGCTCCCCGCTCCCAGGAATCGCTTCTGGCTGAGACAGCTTGCGGTCTGAGTCAAAGTCCTCAGGAAAGAAGACAACCTTTTACCCGCCGTATTGAAGTGCAGAGGGGGCGTCTGGGGCAGCTGGAGGGCAAAAGCTTCGGCCTCCACTGTTGTTATTTTCAGTAATGGCAGGTAAGACGGAGAAATCAATTTTTTCATGGCATATTTGAGCTCTGCAGAAACAAAGAGGAAGCGAGAAGCATCTTTGCAGAGAGGGAAGCCTCAGTAAGGAGCACGGCTCATTTCGACCTCTGGGGACGTATCTGAATGCTACGATCATACGTAGGCATTGCAAACATCACCTGCAGCCGGAGAAACTGCTCCCGGGGTCCCCATTTATGTGGTCCTTCCGACACATGCTGCCTGCTGAAGGAACACACAGGTGTCCTGCTAGGGCTGCTGGGGGGTGTAGCAGTCACGGCAAGGCTACTCCCCCTTAGGTAACGAGGAGCACAACAGCTCCCGAGGAACAGCCTGGGATTCCACACCGGATTAGCACTGGGGCAGCGGAGAGAGAAATCAAGGAGCCTGTGATCCGAAGTGACGTTGAAGACAGGTCATCTATGAACGTGAACTGTGCCACAAATCATTTCTTATGTCAATAACTGCATGGGTGGCAACAGGACACAGCTAAATGGGGGACCTACCTACGTGTCTCTACCTAACGCGCTCTTTCGAGCCACAGCTTAGTCTTAAGCCACACATCAGGCAGCAAAGCAAGGCTGAAGTTGAGCTGTACCTCTTCCATGCTCAAAGCTTTCTGCATCCCTTTACATGAAGAGGATGGAAGGGAGGGTACAGCCAGCCACCCCGTTCCCACCTCCCGTGGAGAGAAGGCAGATAGCCCACTCCAACAGCCAGGAGCGCCCAAACGGACACCGGTCTGCCCAAGACGGACAGCCATACGGTTGTTCCTTGTGGGTGCACAGCGAACATGTCACCTGGTAAAAGGAAAACGGCAAAATTAAACACATGCAATGCTTCAGTTCTTTATTGTTGCTGTAGAGTAACTGGTACATGGTTAAGACATTCTAATATAATCAGTGAACTCTGGAAACTAAGGCTTTCCGTAGGTTTGCAGTATCCCGGTGTTTCCTTTCGCACAGTGTACATATAAAATCAAGTTATAAAAACACGCATCTTTTTTTTCAAACAACACAGATGGATGCAATGCACAAAACTAGGAACTATGTTTTGTATGAGCGAGACAACACCTTCACAGACCAGCTCCGGGCCTCGCAGCTTGGAAGCCGAGAGAGAAATGTCTTGGTCTGACGTCCTGCTACCCGGATGAGCCTGACGGCAAACACAGATGGCAGGAATTCAGCTGAGCAGAGAGAAAGAAGCCCCTGATGCAGCTGAGGAAACGCTTGGTCGACCGAACGAGAGAGCAGTACCCTTAGAGCAGGTCACTGATCTCCAGTAACACAGGTGAGACCCGCAGGTCCTGCAGACAGAGCAGTCGCTGCCGAGCGGTGCGGCTGCCGGGACGGCGAGAGAGGGTGAGCCGTGACAGACGTGCTCATGAGTGAGACGAGCCTCGGTGCCAATGTGTCCCAGGAAGGGACAAGGGGGATGATTCCTGGAGAACTAGCACCCTCACCCTACCAGCATGGAAAACATTCAAAGTGATTTACCTGGCATGGAATCACTCAGGTTGGAAAAGACCTTTAGGATCACCGAGTCCAACCGTTAACCCAGCACTGCCAAGTCCATCACTGAGCCGTGTCCCTAAGTGCCATCTTTGTGTACTCTGAATAGAGAAACAGGATAAGAACAAAACAGTCTCCAAAAATCTGTGTATTAGAAACATTTGAGTAAAAACCTACGTTTTGACCAAAGAGAGAAAAAAAAAAAGCATTCACAGAAAGATCTTCCCCCAGTTCCTTAACCACGTTTAATACAAAGAAGCTTATATATCCACAAAGCTTTTTCTTGTCATTCGATTTTTTCCCCTTCTCATGTTTCTAACTGGGCTGGAAAACAATGCATCTACTCTGAAAGTTAGGTCAGTCACCCAGCCCACACCCTTCCCTGCGAGAGGAGGATTCTTCGCTCACCACGCGCAGCCCTGCCTCACGGGTCAGGGACTGCACATGTGCCACTAGCAGCTGAGGAGGAGATGATTCTTCCCCTTGATCCGAATTCATGAGAGGATGAACTCCAGGTCTGCGGGATGCTTAACCCCATTACAGTAGGTTACGTGTTTGGCTCCAGCTGGGTGAAAACCCCTTGTAAGGGTCAGCGACGCACTGCATTTGCTTTCATTTCCAGAGCCCGACTCTGATCGCACACCGGCGTCAACCTCTCACCGCTCCGTGACCAAGACTCACACCCATGTTCCGACAGACCTGATGACACCACAGAGTTCTCTGAACGACTGAACAAAACGTCGCTGGTATTTATGTCACCAACAGATATAACCCTGAAGCCACTCCTGACGACTGCGTTAAGGCTATTGGAATAGGCTGGCCATGGTTGCCCCTGGACGAAAGCACAGCCGTGGCTCAGGACAGACTAGGAGCCGCCTTTTAGGTCTCCTCTGCATTAACCACAAATGAGGTTTTTAGGTTTTTCCCTTGCTGTGAGTTACTCGGATGTGCAGGGAATGGCACCAAAGCAGAGTATTAGGTGAAGAAAAACCAGGCTATGTAGATTTAAGCTGCAACCACGCCTTTGATAGCACAGAATTACGTTAAAGATGTCCTCGTAGTGCAGAAAGGACCTCCTTCCACTGGTGACCGTGGAATACCGGTTGTCAGTCATCAGGTACTCAAATGTAAATATGAAAAAATCATTAAGAAGCATAACCCTAAATATAAACCTAGTTTTATTTCTTTTTAAGAAAGAAGGGATTAAAAAAATTAGAGTAAACCAGATGGCTTCAAGTACTTTCCGCATAATAAACAGTTATTATAAGCACAGATTAAAAAATACCTGTCGCCTTGCAAGGGACAGTCGAATAGAGGTTGGTGATTTGTTAAAAAAATGGCCTTTGATACAAACACATTAGACAACATGTTTAGTGTTGTAATTTAGAAGAAAACTGATGTGTCTGCCACGCCGACCCACTGACTGAGATTTTCAGCACAGCACGAGATTTGTTTTGCCTCTGCACTTTCACATTTCCAGGCAATGCCACTCAACATACGGAGCTGGGCTATCTCCGTTTAGCTCAGAGAAGCCTTCATGCAATAAACTATTTAGTAAAACAGGAGGGTTTTGCAGCAATACAGTTGATCAAGTGGTCTAACATTTTCGAGGCTGAAAAACCTGAAGCATCTCCTAAGTGCTGGCAATGTTTGTGTCTTTTACTTCGCGAGCATGAACGTTACTTTGATTATCTATGACAAGGAATACACTTGAAAGTGCCTTGTCTGAGTTGAAGCTTTCAGGTTTTCAGAATGTCATAAAAATAAGGGAAAGTGGGACTCCCAAATGAACGCCCAAATAGTTGCAAAGGAGGTTGGTCATCAGGCAATCAAAGAGAATACTGCAAAGGGAAGACGTAGCTCAACCTCCCCCTGCTGTGGTAAGTCTGAAACCCATCTCTCGTACCTGTGAGGAGACAACCATGGCATCAGGTGCAACGCAACAGGCCTGGCTGACACGCACGGAACAAGCAGCCTTCCCACTTGTCTATAGGGACACTTGAAATGCCTAAGGAAGCAATGTGAAAACCAAACTAAATACTTCCAAGAAAATATCTCATCTACTCTGAAAAATAAAACATTTTCAATTAAATAACGTCAACAAGGAGACCTTTCTGAAAAACATTTGCCAGCTACGCAGAGGCAGACACTTATTTTCGCCTCTATGAGACAAAACCACTAATAAAACCAGCTCCCCTACCCCGCAGCTCTGTATGCTAGAGAAGGAACAAGTCTCCCACAGCTAACAGGGAGAGAGAAACCGTATGTAACAGTGAGAAATCAAAACTTTGCTGCATAGGTCTATTAAGGGGTAAGTTAAGACCTAACTGGAGGCAGAGCCAGCACTGTTTTCTGTACTACAACACAAGACTGCAAGGCTTAAAAACCCTTCTGGGTGACCAAGCCAGGATGGGGGAATAGCGGTAGGTTCAGTAGTGTTTGGAAAAGCTTATGTGAAAATAGTATTTTAAAATAAGTTTCAATATTGGAAACAGCAAAAAGAAACAGAACATCTTCTCCACCAACTTCCACCTAGCATCAAGACATCGTTACACGTACCTGCTTTCCAAACCCGGCGCCTACTGTACGACAGCGTGACTATATAGAAACCACCCATCTGTCTCTCTTAGCTGGACAGTTTGGGTTTCTACAGGCAAGTTCAGTGCATGTCACATTTATTAATGACCGTACGATTGTTCAATAATCCAGCAATTTTTTCCCCCACGACAGCAGAACGCAGTTGCTAGCCGCTCGCGAGAGCAATGTTGAAATTACATTCAGAGATCAAAACTACCATTTTCACGTGTAGTAATTAACCAACATTTTTCTTTCTCTTCACAGAATCAAGTGCAAATATCTAACAATGGCGATAGTAAAAGACAATTCTCATGCAAAAATCCTTCCCTGTGCATCAAATTTGCGGGACATCTCAAAACCCACCCATTGTTACGTCTTTCTCTACCCCAGAACTAATTGCTTTTTATTTTTGGGTCATGAAATTTCTGTTGCTTTTTAAAATATCGATGACAAGCGAGTTCAATTAGTTCCAGCCCACCAAATACCTTTTGCTGCCCAACAAAAAAGATGATCATGGCTGCAAAATACCATCGTGCAAAGCTGTAGAGGTACAGCAGTGCCAGCATACCCAGAGGGAACACCGTCCAGTACAGGATCGAGATGCACTTAACCATGAGGACCCTGAGCTCAGATTTACACGGTGGGATAATGCTTTGCCCTGTTGCACTGAAGCATTTTCCACCTTCGTAGAAGTGACGGAGTCTCTCCTCCTTCTCTTCCCAACGTTTCCGGCACCAAAGCTGCAGCTCCTCCTTAGAAGTGGGCACTGTCTCTATGGGATATCTCTGGACGTGGAAGTGAATCTCCTTTGGGAAGTTTCCATTTAAAAGGTGCTTCTCCGTCTGAGGAATGTTTTGGGGGTATGCCACAGTTATGTCATGGATAGCATCGAGATTGTCACCTGGAAGAAAGGTTTGGGGTGAAAAAAAGGATCAATAGAGATCAGGCAATGGTCAGAACACTAGTTCACCTCAAGGCGTGATTGAAAACTGTCCGAGTTGTGGCAGAAATCCCAAAGGTCAAACTTCTCCCAAACATCATCAATTCTGAATCTGAGCAAAAACTGGTACTAACTAACGTGGAACTGCAACAGTGAGTAAGAAGGTAAAGTCCAAATTAAAGGAGAGGAGATGCACGCCTGGTTTTGGATAAAGAGCACGGTATGTGAGACTAATCTCCATTTATTCATACCTGTGCTGCAAGCTGAAATTGCTTCTGTCTAATGAAATACCATTTAGTGCATGTTCCTGTGAACACTGAAAAAGATTCAGCTTGATCTGAAGCAAGAGCATACACAGTCCTAATTCCTAATTGAGAAAACAGACGTGAAACATACAGCAGCTAAGTATCAGCAGGTTGTTGAATCCAGGGTATCTCACAGGGGATGAGGAGTATCTCTCTAGCTCAGGCAGCTTTGCAGAGCACCACAGCATCTTTAAATCTGAACAGCCAGTACTGCAAGGAGGTGAGCTGCTGCTTACTGCAGCCCAGATCTGGCAAAGACGAAGTGCAGCATAAATGGTGGCGAAGCCCAGCCTTAAGTAAACCACATATTTTGGGTAAAATGAGTATAGTTAACCATTTAAAAAGCAATTGCACGTTAGAAATTCAAGGGAATTCTGATGAAAAAACCCTCTCCTCTTCACTACCACACCTGACGGAGCCAATACCCCTGAAAGGGTATCAGTATGGCCAAAGCGGGGCTTGCTAGCCCATCTTGGCACTAAGTGTTTTTGCATTTTGCACTGTGTGAACCTCATCCCCCGCTCTCTGACCAGACATTCTTTTCAGATTTCATAAAGTAAATTTTGCTAGTGTAAAACTGATCTATAAATAGGTGCCTGGTGCACTGGATGTTGCATAACTGTTAAGTTCTGCCAGCAGTGATTTATCCCGCTGTTTTTATTTGGCTGGCTGGCTCGGGGCAAAATAGAATTGGAGACTAAAAGCTGTCTCCAGTTGCAGAGACCGAAGACTCTTGTTCTCATAGATGATGTCACTTCTTGCAGAGATGATCACAAACTACTCTTTATCCCTGCTCTCCCTTTTCATTTGCTCCCCTTCCCTGGCATTTTGGCTTTCCTTTACAGCCCTAAAAATGACAGGGATAGAACAGAAAGTTACTTTAAAAGGCCATGTTCAAAATTATGTAGCTGAAGTACAACTCCAAATATCACAAGAGGGGAAGAGCCCTATTCAGCCTCTCAGGGTATTTTCTAACCGTGCTGTCTGGTAACGATTTCTCTCAGACCGTTTTGAGGCAGGTTACTTGGGTATTTAGAGAGCTATATATGACTCCTAGGAGCTCTCTCAGAGCAAAACTCAATACTCCAGCTTTTGTCTAGCTATGGGAACACATCCTGTCTATGCAGAGAACCACTGAATTCTGCACAGGTAAAACCTTTCAGATCTCCTTCCAAGAGATGCCAAAACTGAATGTGTCTTAGGAACCCAGCCCTTATGAAGGGAAACGATGGCCAGCCTGCTGCACCTTAGCACCAAGCATTTTCATTTTGAGAACAGCTCGCGGTTTTCCTCCCTCTACCCCAAATATTTCTGCCAACGGAAGGAATTACAGTCATCCTACAGGACAGACATCCCCAGTTCCTGGCCCAGCCAGGGGAAGGGCTGCTACGTATACCTGTAAGGGATATCCTTCTCCTACAATGTGTCTTCGTCCTGATCCTCCACAGCTCCCCAGATCCTACTAGCACATAAAACCTACACACTCCACCTCAAGAAGGAGGCCAGAAAAGTTCAGATCCTGGTATGAAAAAAGCCTTCTATGAAAAGAGGTTTTGGCTACATGAGTTTCCCATCCATCTTGCAGTCATTTGTACCTTTGCAGCCTAACATTCAGTCTACCATTACATGCAAGTGTTCTTGAAAAATCAAGGCTGTATCCGTAAGGATCACTGGCATAAAGACCACAGACAATAAATCATCAGATTTGCTTAAGACACAGATTTTCTGACTCTGTGCAAGCAGGATGGGCAGGACTCCCTGCACCCGCACAGCTGGTCTGACCTCTTCAGAATGCCCATGAATTCCTGGTCAGAAACAGGGAAGCTGCCACTCCTGACCTATGGATTTGTAGCATCCTCAGAGAGACACCTTCCAGCAGGGCTTCATGCCAGACTGTAGGTGGTGTGCACTACCTTATGGCTTCTGAACGAGCTACTCGGAGCAAAGCCCAAAGAGCTGCACGCAGGAGAGTGGATGTGACTCTTTCTGCATTACAAATGGGGAAACTGAGGCAAAGTATGATTACATGACCCTCAGTGTGTCCAGCTTGAATCAGTATCTCCTAATTCACAGCAGCAAGGTTCATCTATTAAAAGCATACTTTACACAAGAAGAAATGGAACTTCAAAGGCAGATTTAGCATATCTGAAAGCACAGAAACATCAGAAAGAGAGGAGACCAAAATACCAGGTTTCATATGCAAGAGGATTAGAGCCTTTCTCAACAGGCCCCTTGTTTGGGTCATACATATTTAAAAACTCCACACAAATGGCAGCCTGGAGCTTTAATTCCCTGGCAAGACAGGCATGTGGAAAGGACGGACTTCAATCAGTTTTCTGCAGCTGCTGAAAGAAGCATGCCTTGCTGGTGTTACATGCAGTAAGGCTGCAGGATCCACACTGCACACCTGAAGAAAAGGGTTCTGCATACCCTCTGCTGATTTATCAACGGCATCCTTTAATACGGACAGGGTCAAGGCACCGCTGCCCAACGTGCTGCAAGCCAATCTGCTAAAAAAGAAGAAACGTTTCCGCAGCAGATGAAGGCAAACCATTTGCAAACAGGGATAAAATTCCCTTTGGCTGGGTTTAATCAGGCAGACTTGAACCGGCATCCTTGGCTAGAGCATCCTTACTGTCTCTGTTTCCCTGTGAAGTTAAGCTCGTTGTCTCTGCAGTCTGGAGATATCTAAGAGCACGTTTCAGATCGATAGCAAGGTGCCAGTCAACCAGCAACAGAAAGCGATCCTAAGTGCAGATGCAGGGCAGTCACTGATTTCAAAGATCTTTTTCCACCTGAATTTAAAGATCCTCTTAAAAAAACTGTTTCTGTACACTTTCAGATGAAATTTCCCTAAGGGAAGCCACATCATTCTACTTCTCTAGTGAGTCAAAAATGAAGTAAGCAAGCATATTTGTTCATAGTTAGAGAAGCTGTTGGTGGACAAACCACTTTCTCAAGGGTTTTAGCAACACATGAGTGATCTTTTTTATCCTTCGTGTATCCATATCCCATTGGGGAAGGAATGAAGGACAGAGGAAATCCAATAACGTTCACAGTTTAGCATCTAAAATCTAATTAAGCTAAGAAACTGACATTAAGGTTAAAGTGTCAGGCAGGTAGCCCAGCTCTTCAGGACAGAGAGACACCAGTTTTGGTAGCTTTGCAGTCTCACGGCCTTCTTCCTGCAGTGGTAGGATTATATATCCTTCATAGCCATGAACAACTCTGTCCTGTGCTTTATAAAAGCACCTCAGAAAAGGAAAGCTTACTACAGCGGTCAGGAGTGAATATAAAATTTATCTGCAATTATTGTTAAGCAGCTATAAAGTGCATAACATACAGATGATTATTAATCCATGTAGTGGTCTCCATTCTGGGATGACAAAAAAAGCACTATTCTTTTTCTTTTTAAACCTTCTGTGCTCCAATCCAAGTTATATTTCAGGCCTTGTTGATACAGGACATTACTTCAAGCCATTACAACACACAGCTGGTTGGTTTGGGCATTGCATCAGAGGTGGCAGAGGAAGAACTTATCAGGCTCATGACCAAAATAACAGCATCAGAGAAAGATGCCTTATTTTAAAAGACATTTCCAAGGAAAAATCAGCACATTTTCTTTCCTTACACCAGCTGTCCCATGAGAATTTTACATTAGAAGCTGCAGCACCTGGTAGCCCAGCAAGGTGAGGTTGCTGCAACTCCCTGCCCCGGCTAGGAGCACGCATTCCCAATACGCACACACGTGCAATGCACAGGCACAGACAGACAGACAGCCATGGGTCCACGTGGGCAGAAAACACAGCACTCAAGCAAACAAAACGGCCTCATCGAGACAGACAAACACACAAACTGGTCTCTGTTCACCCCAGAACACACAGGCTCCTCAGCCACCCGCTTGGATCTCACAGTCCCTCCAGTAGCCAAATTGCGACCATCTGACCAAGACTTATGGCCACTTTGATACCTGGCTCCCAAGCCTTTTACCCAACTCGCCTGCTAGTCCTGCTCGATAGTGGCTGGTGATCACACACTGACACATATGTACCCATATGGCAGACACAGACCCTGGTCTCTCCAGTTGCTGACACTTGGACTTCCATGTGCACACCCCGAGTCCCCTCACCCAGGAAAACAGTTGGAAATGGGGTTTAATGAGAAGATGGGCCAGACTGGGCTGATCAGGTGCAAGACATGGCCAGAGAAGTATATTGACCAGCCCCATTTATGTGAGACCAGCCCCTTTTACCTCTATTTTCCCAATCTTGTTCCTCCCAAACCACCCGGAACTATCCCTTTGCCCACTTTTGGTTCCTCCCCTAAATATCCCATAATAAATCCTGCACAATCCCCGAACGCTCCTCTCGGGCATCCTGTAGCGAGTCCCAGAACCCTGCAAGCAGTCAGTAAGGTGATGGACAGGAGCCTCTCCCCCTGACTCACTGCGACGATAGCTGCCCTGTGACAGCCCTCGGAAGAACCGGGGTAGGGGCTCTGCTTCTCCATCTGGGTTTTGGGGTTTTCCCTGCCTGCCCTCACGCCTCTGCGCTCCCCTGCATGTGTGCAGACAAACCTTTTGTCTCATCACCTATCATAAAACCCTACAACCAAAAGCCTCTTAAGATAAAGATGTTATGCTCAATATACCATGTC